GGAAGATTCTTGCTAGAGGTTGTAGCTAATAAACATTGCTGGACTGAATTTACATGGTGTCCTGGAGTTCCTTGGGCTAGGCTGACATCAATCTTCCCAGACTACAACCCCAGTTCCCAAAGTCCTCCCGCCACAACAGTGTGAATTCCTCAGGGAGGTGCCAGTCTCATCCTTATGTTCCTCCCACGCGGTTCCGGTGAGCTAAGAAAATGCTTATCTCCCTGAGCTTGGCCTTCATAATTCCATTCCATCACAATAATGTTTATTCCTCCCCCCACATTTTTTATTCTAACTATCACAGTCCCAAATTGTGGGTACAAGAGAAAATTAAAACCACCTAATTCCAGTATTTTAAGAGCAGGGCAATAAGAACTACATACGACAAGAGGCCCAGTGTCACATTTGACATTAAAACTGACACAGCCAGTGAGCTGTGTACTGGAGCACCTGGGAAGCCTGAAGAATCCATTTCTCCAGAACTCAGTCCAGAGAAGATAGTTATATGACTGTCCCAAATGCAGTGATTTCCACATGGGTTCACCACTAAAATCATACATTTCAGAAAATCAGCAAATTATGGTACATTAACAGATGTTCATATACATCTGGATTCCTTCATAGATGTTTATCCTAACATTGCAGTCACTGGCAGGTTTCCCCTGCCAGCTACAAATGGAAACAAACTGTGGGTGAGCATTGTCTTTTTGGTCTACAAACATATAGTATACGTGGGTTTTATAGCTTAACCAGAAATAGCTCTTGGAAACAGTCCGTCATTTTACTTCTGGTTTTTGCAGGACTGCCATCTTGATTGGTTTTGTCAGAACAAGTTGCTTTAGCACCACTTGGTGACTTCCTTCTTTGTGTTTTATTACAATGGTAGCAGGGTTTTCATCGCTCTGACCAGCCTCTGTATGATGGTTCTGGGGTTTGACTGAAAGAGCATTGTGCTGTGATGGCTGCTTAAAACCAGGAGTAGAATGTTCCTCTTAGCCCTCCCCCACCCCAATCTTTTTCTCTTTTTTTGCAATCTGGTCAGTGGAGTCTGCCAGTATCTCTCTGAAGTGTCATTGGCAATGTGGCAAAGGATAAGGTCTCCCTTTTACGCACAACAGTCTCTCTGTAGCTACGGAGGTGGCTTAGAATCCTGAGATCCTGAAACAACAGTTGTTCTGAGCCCCCAGGTCGCCTCTAGCCTTCGAGGTGTGAAGGATATGAGCTTTGTAAGACAGAAGAGAACTTGCTCCTTTTTTTAGCTCTTTTTTTCTGTTCCCTAGTTAGTAGGGAACAGAATAATATTGCTTCTGGGGTTTTTTTTGGTTTGTTGTTTTGTTATTGTTATTGTGTTTTGTTTTTCTGGAACATGTGCTATTAGTGTTGAAAAATTATTGTGGCTCATTTCCACTTTAGTTGGCACCCAGCACATTCCAATTAATCCCTATATTAGATCAGATCAGAGCAAGCACACGCATCACTCAGTTCAGCTGGCAAAAACATAGCTTGATGCTTATTTAGCAGCAAACATTGAAAACAGAGAACTGGCAAGACCATGATAAAGGCAGACAAAACAGGGAGAGAGACATGAACTACAGGCAACATTTACATTATCTCTATCTATCTGTATATCAGAAGGCGTAGCATTTTCCACTGGAAACAATATTGTGGGGAATTAGCATGGACCGTCGCAAAAAAAGTGGCCTTTGGTTATTCCAGCCTTAAACCTTTTATGTAGCAATAGCACCACAGAGATGAAAAGTAGGACACGTGGCGATCCCTCCTCTATTCTGCATGTGAAGGAAACCATTTTGTGGTTAGGGATGAGGTATCCAACAATCACAACCACATTCATAATTTGACCTACCCCATTTATGGCCAAAATTGAGGAAGTGCATATACTTGGATGCTTAGAAGGATTAATTAGCATGAAGATCTGTAAGGAGGCTGCAGTTGCGTTCAGTAAATTTGCCTGCATCACTTAATACAGTGTTGTCCAAACATGCTGGCTGGGGAATTCTGTGAGTTGAAGTCCACTCATCTTAAAGTGGCCAAGTTTGGACAACACTGACTTAATACATTCCAGTCCCTTATAATCCCAGATGTAGGACTCAGAGAACAAGGTTACTGCTGCTGGTAGAGCAGTAGGCAATATGGTTTGCAATAGTGAACCTATGGGTAAGAGTTTTTTCACCATAGTTTAACACTGTTTCCAAGTCTAGATATTGACTGTCTTAGTTCTGTTTCTTTCCGAATCAACATTCCTAGCTTCTTTGAAGCACTTTTTTATAAGCTAGATACTTCACTTTTTCCCCCTCTAAACTTGTTGCACAGTGTAAGAATGTGGCATTTCTTTTCTACTGCAAAACAGACACAGAAGCAATAAAAACTGCCAAGTTGGTTTTCAATAAAAAGCATGTGCAAACATATTTTACTCTATCAAACTATTTTCTCTACTTAGCATCTGTAATAAATTTAGTTGCTATGTTTGTTAGCAACTTGAATCCTGAAGCCAAATATGTTGTCAGAAATATAGCATCAACAATGATGGATCTTAAAGCATGTTAGGAAGCTTGCAGGCAAGAATTTTAGAAGTAGCATATAAATAAGTATGCTTATGTATAAGAAGTAATTGTAGACTGAGCTTACAGTTGTAGGGTTGGTCTATAGTTCTGATTTAAAAAGTAAAGATTGTGTTATTTCTAGTTGTGATTCCTGTGGGCTAGGAGTAGGAACCACCTACCCCGAGAAATCTTTAAGATTCCCCTCCTTAATTTAGGGGTACAATTGCTGGCTACAATGCTTACGTTGGTTCAGTCCAAGTAAATGTTTTTAGGGAAAAGTGCAAAATACATAGACTGCCAACTTTTGCTGAACTACAATTCCCAACACCCCTCACTATGGATCATTTGACTGGGATGGTGGGATTAGGAGTTCTGCAACACCTGGAAACTGAAAAGTTGTCTTCACTGCTTTAGAACGTTGTAAAGATAAGATCCTTTCACATGGAACTTAACCCCTGGTGACTTCAGGGATATGTCTGTGTAGTTTTCTTGGCAACAATGCAGAAATGATTTATCATTGCCTTCCTCCAGGGTGTTCCCCCCCCCCCAACTTCTCAATGTAGCCTACAGTTGTGGAAGTTCCTGGCAATCTGCCATCCAAATCCTAAGCAGGTCCAACCCTTGCTTAGCTTTTCCAGATCAGCCAAAGATGGCTTGTTGCTGTTACCTAACTGGACTAGGATATTATATTACAAGTAGTCCTTGTTTAATGACCATTCATTTAACAACGGTTTGAAGTTATGATGGCCTTGGAAAAAGTGTTTTACAACCTGTACTTGCACTTATGACTGTTGCAAACTGTCACACTGCCCCCCACAGTCACATGATCGCGATTTGTGACTTTTTACGATGGTCATTAAGTGAATCACTGTGGTTGTTAAGCAAATCATGTGGTTGTTAAACAAATTCCAGCAAAACCCATCCATTGGGGAAGCTGGATTCACTTAATGACCATGTGATTCGCTTAATGACCACATGATTTGCTTGACAACCATGTTGATTCACTTAATGACCATTGTAAAAAAGGTCATAAAATCAGCTCCGGTCATGTGACAATTTGTTTAATGGCCAAATTGCTTAGCGACCTAAATTCTGGTCCCTATTGTGGCCGGATAGTGAGGACTACCTATAATGATAATTGGATTTGTAGGGCACATTCTGGCTTGCAAAACGGAAATTATTAATTTTTGGTTATTGCCAGTATACTGTCTGGGAATTCTGGAAATTGCATTTGAATCCTTTGGAGGATGCCAAGTTGTAGAAAGCTGATCTAATCCATATATAGTGTATATACTATACAGGCATCAATCTTGCTGACTTTATACATTTTTTTAAAAAAATCTCTATTTCTGTAGCAGTATCCATGACCACACAAGTTCACACTGCTTTATGAAACTCCTTCAAGGAAACCTAAAGGAAACTTTGTTTGAGTGGCCTGGCAAAAAGGGAGTTGGAGAGATGCTGAAAAAGTCAGAAAGGGTGTTAAAGAGAAATCAATGTGCCTATATTAATGGTAAGTCCTTTTGCTTTGGTGTCTTTAAAATTAACATTACCTTTCCCAACAGTGATTACACACAAAAGTTTACATTTTTATGGTGTGTTAAAAGACATGTGAAGGTCCTTCTATGATTTTGGGGAGTTAGCCTTATTTCTCCTGCTTCCCCAAATGGCTGGTTTGCTTTACTTGCTTGCTTGCTTATTTATTTATACATACATACCTGATTTTGGGAACCTCATTCAACTTCCTCCTTATAATTTAAACTGTTTATCTCCAATAGGGGCCAATCTTAGAAGCCGACATGGTTGGGTATCTACTGACAGCTTGGTGATTCAGAAAGATTTTGTTGATACCCCAGTTGCCATCAAAACCATTGCTCAGTGTAAGGAACATTGGTTGCCCCTGTGTCCGTCACTCACGTATCACCCATTCATCTTACCTTCTCTTTTCCATTGACATATTTTGTCTAGTAGTATTTCTTATGATTCAGCTCTGTTCTCTAATCCTAGAGGACAGGGGAGTTGGACAGGAGACACTGCTAGATCCCACCAAATCCTGCCAACCATTCTGTTGTAAGTAAAAAACAAAAACGGGGAAGATACAGAAATCCCAGAATTGGCACAGTTTTATGATGGAGGCCTCCCCTGCCAATTTCTAACTTATCATAAACAAAACAAAACAAAACAAAACAAAACAAAACAAAACCTTGATTTTACAATATTTGCTATCATATTTTCCCTGGGAAAAGAAAACCCCAAAGATTATACTTTCTACCCTGGATAGCATGTATTTCCTTATAATATGTGTTATCCAGTAAGACTTACACATAATAGCTAAAATGTTGGATTCCCGTGTGATTCTGATAGTGGGGATTTCATCTTCAAAAGATCAGGGGTCTGATCATAGCGATTCTCTCCCTGTCTCATGATGACTACCCAAATACTTTTTAACAGACTTTGGCTTAGCTTGCTGCAGCTAAGTTTTCCTTACCTTTAAACCACATAAGTTTCCATTCCATTCCTGAGAGTTGTCTTCAGTTTGTTTTATTTGTTCTGTTTGTCACAGTGTTTTTCCTTTCTGCCAAGTTGTCTTCTCATCTGTCCCTGGCTATCCATAAACTTCCTCAGCTGCTGCTTCCATTTTTTAAAGATTTTCCTCTTCAAACCATCTTTCAGCTACTGTATATGGTTACACAACTTACAAGCTTAGATGTTGAAATAGTGGGGCAAATTAACTGATCTTTAGCCTTAGGAAGGCTTGTTCTGTATGGCCATATCCTTAAATAATAAAGAAACCCAAACCAAACCTGACTAAATTAGGAGCTACTTTTAGCCTTAGCTGTTTTTGTGGCTAATGCCTTCTGATTCCCTGTCCCTCCATTCATTTGAAATAACAAAAAAGAAGATGGGGTAGCCCAATCTCTGTAGAGATAACAGTAGCAGGTTTAGCATCTCCCATTCTTTCTCTACAAGTGGGGGAAAAATGGGTGTCTAAATTATCCTGTTTTTCCCAGCCACTTTATCTTCCCGGCTTTGTGCTGGAAATCAGAAGAGAAGGCTAAGCTTAACTTTACCTTCTCTTCCAGCTCCAGATTACAATAAAAGCCAAGTGAATAAAACCTATTCAATGTCTGCCATTTGACCTACGCATCATTGCTTAAAGTCCCTTATATCAGGTAGTCCATGAAGCTGACAAGGCAGCTATGTAATTTTTCAGCTCCTCTCTTGTTGCACAACTTCATCAGTCTGTACATGCTGGGAAAGATGTTCTGGTAATACTACATACTTTTCACCAAACAGGTATTGTAAGTTAGGAGATGCTAGCAGCATGCGCACATCCAAGGGAGTCAGCCAGAAGAGCACCCCAGTTCCAGACCAAACATATTCCTGCCAGCTGGATGACATTGAGACAGCTACATATGCATTATCGTGCTACATCATTTGGTGTCCAAACTAAATAGCCCACCCGCTGCTAATTTATTCTGGCAGGTCAGAGGAGGAGAAAGTGTAATTCCTTTTGGTGGACAGGCATGTGAAAACCACGAAAAAGATGGTTAGGTTCTCTGCTCTTGCTACCTTCATTCAAATACTAACTGTTTAGGTTCCCCAACCCCCAAATACACATATACCCTCCCATGGAAAAGCCTGGTCATTTTAGCATCTTTTTATAACTTTTAGGGTTTTTTATGCTTTATTTTGTATATGTATATGCTCATTTTAGATATTCATTTTATGATGCTGGTCTATGACTGTAATAAACTTTAAGTAGCTACTCAATGTGTACGTTTGAAAATAAGTTAAATGTAACAAGCTCCTTCCTAGCCTGAATATATCTAGGTTTCTGGATTCATACAGCCCACTAGGATTGCCGGTGACCTGGTTAAAATGGCACGTGAATGCAGTCAAAGACATTAATACATACCGTATTTTTCCGACAATAAGACACCCCCATGTACAAGATGACCCCCACTTTTCCAACC